CAGCAGGAACAACTGTCAGAAACTGAACACTTGACATAATTCTCACCTACAAGTTCACAGTGCTATACCTCCAATTGTCACAGGTGAAACAGATTGCAATACAAGACAATTAAATAGCAGGTTAAACAGCAAAGCAACCTGCCCCTCTGTACCCCAGCATGAACAGTTTCTTAAGAGAAGGCTTTATTCCAGTCTTGTTTATATCTTTCCTCTCCCACAGCAAAAGGGGAGACACAGTATAAACCTAGTTTGGCATTCAGGAACCAGTGTGAAACTTCTTATACTTTTAAATAAGTCACTGCATGCACTAAACAGTAATAGAGCACATCCTAATAAATCTGCTATGGAGATTCAGGCCTTTAAACAGAGGGTTTAAAGTTAGGAAACAGCTTCCTGACTTAACCCAACTCAGTCACACTTGCTGCCTGCTCCTCCCTCTCTCCACTTACATGGCATTACTCTTCTTAGGCATAATACATGGATAGAACAACCAGTGTGAAGCTGACCACTTAACTTTTAAGACCACATAGCTGTCTGCACTGCAGGACAAAATGCAAAGAAAACTTACCTGAACATAGAGGTCCTGGTGCTCATCAATGTATTTAAAGAGTGTTTCAAGAGCAGACATTTTCTGACCAGAATGATGTTGCTGAAGATCCTGTAACAGGAAAATAATTTAGCCTTCACAGGTTTAAGAAGGAACATACAGTGGTCAGGCAGCCAGAGAAGGCTTTCACCTTTCAGCTGCTAATGCCCTACACCAAGCGGGGCTAGTATAGAACTTGAGGCCACTCTCTCTCACAAAAATGAGACAGTGAAGTGGCTAAACAAAGGCATATTTAATCTCAAGACCACCATTTCTGCTTCTTCTGCCCCATAACAACTTCGGAAGTTAAACTGAGCAAGCTTGTCTATAGAGAAACTTCAATCAAGTCATGTATGTCATGTTACTGCAAAATTTTAGGCAAAAAGTTACTTATGTAAAAATGCAACTTCAAGGAGTAAATTTTGTTACAAAAGTTCAGCTAATAGTTGTGGCACAGGCCTGAACACTAGGAGCTATGTCCAAAAAAGTACCACACTTGCTTTGTGCTCTACAAAGACAACTAAAAGCAGGCTTAAGAATTGTGTTTCCTTCAGCTTTAAAGTTCCAATCTGTCACACAGCCTTCACAAAGAAGTCTGAATGAAGTCACAGGAGCAGAAACCAGCCCCAGCAGGCCATGAGCAAGTGGTCAGTGACTAGCTCAGTGCTACCACTTCCTTGTTCTATTTGAGTTTCAAGTGAAGTTAGTGTGACAAAATTCAAGACCTTTCCCCTTCTCAGTTTTCTGTCTTCCCTACCAGTCTGAAGTCCATACTTAAAATGCATACTGTGCACTCAACCAACAAAACCAACAAGCTTAAACCAAGTTCTCAGTTTACAGATAAAGATACAGCACACCTCTAAGCCACAAAAATGAGCTTTACAAATAAGCCCCTGAAATCCAAATGCCTCGACCATGAGGAAAAACTCCAGTGTGCACATAACACACTGAACAAGCATGTTCAGCAGCACCAACTGCTGTGATTCAGTATTTTGTCCAGTCAGCTTTATGCCAGATCCTTTAAGCCTTTCCTTCACTTCTGTGTGGAAGTCACAAGACAAGTACAATAGCTGTTAAAACATTTAGCTATTTATCTTAGGATTACTTGAACAGCTGACTACTCAGCTAAATGAATACTTTCAAGGTTGTCCCACACAACATACTGTGATATAAGCACATCTTACCACCCCAAAATCTACAGGAGACTTACAGAATGCATCTTCTTTCAACCAGGGTTGTACCTACACAGATCACTCGTGTTTGACATGCGAAAGTCTTTTCACTCATTGGAAACACCTTCTATTTAATTTGCAACATCCATCAAGTTTAAATGCAGATAATGAATTTTAAGCACCAATTAGAACTGCCCCAAACAACAGACAGCTCAACCATTCTGTTCAGCAGTCACAAGTGGTGAAAACATAACATCTTCAAAAGGATTATATGGACAGAACCAAGCTAAAGTAATGCTTCTCACTGAGGCCTGGTTTCCCTGACAAAGCCACCATCCTCACACACGGTTAGAGCTCAGGCATGATTCATCTGAAGCTTTTCAGAGAAACCAGCACACAGGCATCAGTCAGTGCCGCTGACCCTCCTCTTCAGCCAACCAATTCCTATCGCAACATCAGGGTTCTTCACAGCATGGACGAATCACAACACATTACATGAAGAATGATACCCTTGTCCAGTACAAATGTGATCTGAACTACTTGCCAGGTCAGTGACTACCTTAAGCATCACCTTAAACCTAGTTAAATATTCCTGAAAATTAGAGGGGCAGTGAATCACTCAAGTCTCACAGCAGAGCCGCAAAAACACGTCTGCCCTGGAAAGCTTTGAACTTGGAAAAGCAAACGCTGCTTAATGCACAGCACAAGGCTGGATATTACTTCCCCTCCCCTCTTAAAAAACGAGCCTAGACATTCCCACAGGGCCCTCAGGTGTGATAACTTAATCCTTCCTACCTGCATGGAAACGGCTCTGCAAGTTCTACCTCTCCCCCTACAGTATCGGTTGTGCTACAAGAACAACCCGAGGGACCACCCGTGCACCAGGACACCTTTGCCCCCCTTATCCCCAGGCAAGACGAGGACCCCGGGC